TAGAAAAGTTCCAGCTAAGAAAATAAGGAGCAGAACTAGATGTAAAAAATGCCTGAGATATAAATTTGTAATCACAGCTCTGTGTAGAAGAGATTGTAGGTACATCTACACCAGCATCAACTTTCTTTCCAGTCAAAAGTACTTGCTTTGTTGTGAGCTGGTCTCAGATATAGTGAATACACAAGATTTTGACTCAGGGCAAATGTGGTTTAGGTGACAATCACCACCAACCTCCAATACATTATTCATAGTCCTATTTCCTTGTTTGATACATGTGAGCAGTCTGAATAAGAGGCTAAAATATATATGCCCCTGCAACCCAAACCAAGGGATAGACAATCCTGTTATCACCTACCTAACTAGAAGATGGTATTTCTTTAAAAAAATTATTGTGGAAACAAAAGCGCTAACAGATTTCCAGAGTGAAACTTTAACCATTTATGGAATTGGAGATTGGTTGTTACAAACATTAAATGACAGAATTTTTATCATTACGTGCAAAGCCATGCTAGTTTGTGTGGCAGGTACTTCTTTACCATTTCCATCATTATGAAAAATTTTTTTTCCATTTTTGCAGGGACAGTTTTGTCATCCTCTGCTTTTTACTATCCGAACTTGTACAGTACTTAGCTTTGAACCTAAACTCACAGCAGTGGACTATTGACTTCATATAATTTTCAGGTTCTTCTGGTGTAGTATTTATTTATTTTATTTATTTATTAGATTTCTACCCCACCCCCCTAGACAGTGTCTACTTGGGGCAGCTTACAAATATCAGAAAATATCATAGTAGTCTTTCTGCATGGGCCTCTACAGCTCTAATTCCCATCTTACATAGTTCAAAGGTTTTGTAGCACACTTTACATTGATCGTTGAATTTTCCCCAGCAACTGGTGGTAGCCACATAATGAATTCAGCATTAAATTTGATATTAACACAATTGCACACATAAATCTGACCTCTTAAATGCCATTTTCAAAGTTTGGCTTTAGATACAGACTTATATAGAAGCACCTGACTGACAGCAAGATGTAGCAGATTGGTTTATCTGACAAGTAAGAACTTTCCAAATCTGGGACTAACTAACTGTGTTCCAGAGTGAAACTCCAGCTCCTTCTTTGCAGATTATCTGCTCATTACAAATGTCAAAGTTCCAGAAAGTATGTAATGAGCAGATCAACAAAGGGAAGAGGCTGGAGTTTAAGTGCTTGCAGATCATGTTGACCCCAGATGAATCCCAATTGGGAGGACGTTCCATAGTCTTGGGGCAGCTGCCGAAAAGGCCGTTTGTCTACAAGCCATCCTTCTTACCTCCTGGAGGGACGGTGTGAAGATTGACCCATATCACTCCTGTCACTCATATTCAGGATCTCATTTGCATGAGCCTATGAGAGGAGTAGAGGGGCGGAGTCAGGATATAAGAAGGTTTGGCAGAAGAGATGTGAGAGAGATATATATAGAATTTGCAGAGAGAAAGAGAGATAGTCAGGGAAATAGTGAGAACTGATACCAATAGAGATAAGCTCTATTTAGATAGAGCAAGTGGTGATTGGTTATGTGGCAAGATCTATGACGTTTTTAATGATTTGATTGTATGGATTGAATAAAGAACATCTGTGATTCTGATTAAATTTAATACACTCCAATAAATAAGTTCTTTTGGCAGTAGCCAGACAAGTGTCTGACTAAAGTTCTTTATATATTGTGGATAAAGGAAATCCACTGGTAGCAGTGAGGAAAAGAGGGAACATCACAATTGGTATCTGCTGGTGGGATTACATAGCATGAGCCCTTTGTTTGGGGAAGCATGTGATAAACTTCACAGACAGCTCTTTCAAAAGGGCCCCCTGGCTAGATCTTAACTGCCGGGTAGGTTCATATGAAAGGAGATGGTCCTTCAGGTATCCAGGGCCCAAGCCATTTAAGACTTTATATGTCTATGTAAGGCATGTTCTACCCCCACCGCCATTCCTTCCCCTACCCAGCACCACCTCAATGGCTTCCCCTCCAATGCCCTCCCCCCTTCCTGTTCTCTCAAATCCATTGTGAGTCTCTCTTAATTGATGGAAATTAATAATCACAATTTAAAACAAACAAACAAAAACCTTCTAGAGCCCCTTCTCCCCCCTAGCCAGGTGGCTGATGTTGAGGAGGGGGTGGGGCAGCCAGGAATGGCACGGCCCATTTTGAATCCATTTGAAGTGCAACCCACCCAAGTTGAGGCAGAGATTCAAGAGAGTTTGATTGATCTTTAGAGTGATTTAACTACACATCGTCAGTTTAGTTTCAAAAGGATATTTGGATCAAGAGTGATCTGCCAAATAAATTTCCAACACTATGAGACGAAGTCCAAATTTTTTTATTGCCTTTCTCACAACGTATTTGGTTGAGTGTGGATCTGGCAAGGTAGTTTCCTTGACAAAGTCCAGGAAGATAACTTATGTTGTGACAAGAGGAGATCTCTGAGTGTCATTGTTTAATTTGGAGCCTGATATAATGAAACTTCCAGAAAAGCACCAAGCTCAAGGATTGTATTAGGCCTAACAGATGTTTAATTCCACATTGTTTTTTTATTGTTTTTTGGTCAAGTATGTTGGAATGTTAATGTTTTCTAGATCTTAAATAATAAATATTATGTTTATCTGTTCATGTTGTATCCTTGTTTAACGGGGTGCCCTAGAGCCTGAGAAGAGCTCCTAGGGCAGTGATGGTGAACCTTTTTGAACCCGAGTGCCCAAACTGCAACACAAAATCAACTTATTTATTTCAAACTGCCAATACAATGGTGCCTCACTTAACGGGTGCTCCGTTTAGAGACGAAATCGCTTAACAATGACTTTTTCAGAGTGTTTTTGCACTTCGTTTAGCGATGGTCCCTATGGATGATTTTCGCTTAGCGATGGTTGGGTCCATGCATCGCATAGCGATTAAATTTTGGGTCCCCTGTTTTGCTTAACGATGGTTTAAACAGCCTCATGTTTGCTGTTTTTTAAATGTTTTCCTGTTATTTATAAAGTTAAAGTTTACTGTTTAAAATGTTTGAAATCATAAAATGCACTTAATAAACCCTTTGTTAACCAAATTTGACATTGTTCTGACTCTTTTTAAACATGCTATTGTACTTTTCCCCCCCATTGAGATGCATTGAATAGGTTTCAATGCATTTCAATTGGGGAACTACGTTTCGCTTAGCGATATTTCTTATGGTGATTTTCGCTTAAGGACGGCAATTCGTTTCTATTGGAACGGATTATCTGGTTTTCAATGCATTTCAATAGGAAAACGTGTTTCACTTAGCGATGAAATCGCTTAGCAGCGATTTTTTTGGAACGAATTAACATCGCTAAGCGAGGCACCGCTTTGCAATTAAAACCTGAATGCTGAGGCTTTAGTGTAGAAAAAAATGACTGCTCCTGCAGTCCTCCCCCCCGGCGGTATTAACAAATAAATACAGTACTTACTGGTCCTCCAATCCCCCAGTGGGCTAGACTGTTCATGGTCCCCATTGCACCCCTCCACTGGACCACTGCACCAGCAGAGAGGAGTGCTGAAATCTGAGATTGGAGGATGGGTAAGTATTTCTCTATGGCAACTTACGGCTTGTGTGCCCACAGAGATGGCTGTGTGTGCCAGCTGTGGGAGACGTGCCATAGGTTTGCCATCACTGTCCTAGGGGGACCATAGCCAAAAAAAAAAAAAGGTTGAGAATGGCTAGTGTAGAGAGATAGAGGAGATGACTGACACCTTGATACTGTACAACTTTGATTCTTGTATGAATGGAAGTGTCTTAAATTAGCTTTAGTTCCCATGGGAAAACACATGACTAGAAACGGAGATCAAAGGATCAAAGAGATTCCCAGCTTGCAGCCTCTGAAGACCTCTGTAATGTTAATCGGGAGAGGCCAAATGCTGGGTAGGCTGCTATAGGGCAGAGAAAAAAAAATGACACCCGGATCGTGTCTCTTGAATTCATATCTTGGAGTCTTTGAAGTATGAAAATAAAAACTTCAGAAAAAACTTTTAAAACTATCTTGGGAAGTAGCGAGAGAGACAATAACTCATAACTCCAATGAACAATAACAACCTTGAAGCAGAACAACAATCATGAAGAGGAAAGACATACTGTAAATGGAGGGAAGCACATACAAATTATTGGTTATGTGCCAGTCTCGATTGAGAGAATGTTTTCCACAGTGAAGACGTTTAAGTCATGGCTCTGGAATGCGTGTCTGACAGGGTGCGCTCTCCTAAACTTTAATCAGATTGTTAAAATAAAAAACTGATGATGTGATTTATGGTTGTTTAAAAAAGTAAAACCTCGGATTGTTTTACATTTTTATATAATACTGAAATAAATCTAAATAAAAAAAACAGGGTTGTAGACAATAGAATTAATCTAATAAAGGCACGTTTTTATGCAAGTGACCATTTAAATTTTGGTAACCTGAGCCTACTAAAATTTTTTAAACCTCTCCCGTTCTTGATCTATATATACGGCCATGCAGTCAAGTGGTTTGTTCTCATTGCAAGTAAGGGAGACACCCTACTCCATCTGGGGAACAAAAAGAAATCTGCAAACCTTCCTATTTTGTTCTGGCACTGATTTCTTCACGAGCTAAACTCTAGCTTGGACAACTCTGATCTCTGCTCTCTGCCACGTCTAAATAAGGGCGTTTGATCGTTCCAAAACCTGTATCTGATGCATATATAATCCAAGCACACAACGAGTATACCGTGATATCTCCTAGAAACCAATGATGTAACTTCCTTTGAACAATCGTCAAAGAATTAGCGAATGACAGCATGTAACACACTTGGTAGAGGCGGGACTAAACGACGAAACTGACATTATTAGTTATGAGTTAGTGATTGGAAGGAATTTTCTTGTGGCAGCCCCAGTGGCCTAATGGATAAGGCATTGGCCTCCTAAGCCAGGGATTGTGGGTTCGAGTCCCATCTGGGGTGGATGTTTTTTTTCTCCCATTTCCTTTTTCCCCCTGTCAAGTAAAGGCGCTTTTTCAGGCCGCCATTGGTGGGCTCAGCGCAGTATATTTAGATGCAGAGTCGCTGCAGTTTGCTTCCCTTATTAGCAATATGTCTCTATGTAAGTTTCACTACTTCTCCACAGTAAGTCTGTTGCTCGCTTTTCTAAAAGGTCGCCTTTTAACGATCACTGTTCCAACAAAAGCATTACCAAACTGATTTTATTTTCCCCCCACAGTCCACGTCTTTCTTTTTCCCTTTTGTTTTGTTACTTGCTTTATTTAGCGGTACAAATACTTTTTTTTAATTCTCTAGACAAATTATATTATCTATCAGTTCCTTGAACAGCGCTTCGGTTCAACAGCCCGCTCACAGCGCCTCTCTCGTGGAGAGGCCGTTAAGCGCGAGACTAACCGCCTCCTGGATGCCGTTCGTCGCGTTCGGTTGGTCTTCAGGTAGGCCTAAGAGCCCGCTTCCGATTGGCCGGTTGTGCGAAAAAGCCGCCTTCTGACAGGCTGAAGGTCTACTTGCGGAGTTCCGGTGACAGAAGGCGAGCGCCGGCGGAGATGGCTGCTCTCGGCTCGCCTCTTCGCACTTTTCGTGGCCTGTTGCGGGAGCTCCGTTACGCACAAGGGGGGACCGGCCGTTCTTACAGGGATTCGGCGACGTATCAGTATTTGAAAGACGCTTTCCGCGCACACCGGGTACGTCGGCGAAGCTCCGAGGCGAAGGTCAAGCAACGCCTCACGTTCTTTGACTTAACTGCATGTCAGTTTCCCCCGTTTTACGGAAGTTAACGGCTTGAGGCGTTAGCAAAGCAGCGAAATCCCTACAGTTTGCTTCAGGGACCTGTGGGCGCGCTTCTTCTCGCCGGCCCTTCGCCTTTTCGTAAACGGAAGGGCGTCCCTCTCCCAGCCGGATTTGGACGTGTTCTGTTCTGGTTAAGCCATGGGTTAGATTGTAACATTTTGTATAGAGTGGATGTTCACAATTTGTGCACTTGTACCTGTAATGCACACTTTCTAAGGCTGCCGTTGATAATTGTAGCTTTTAGTCTTTTCGTGAGAAAGGTTATTCAGTAAATTTGACTCAGCTTCCAGTTATCCAGTAGATTGTGGATGTTCCCTGGTTCTGGTATTGTGTGAGGGGGAAAGAGCTTCCCTCTATCCACCCCCTGCATAATTTTATACGTCTCAATCATGTATAAAATTTTCTCTAGAGTAAAGAGCCCCAAACGCTGTAGCCTTTCCTCATAAGGGAAATGCCCCAGCCCAGTCATCATTTTAGTCACTCTCTTCTGCACCGTTTCCATTTCCACGATGTCTTTTTTGAGGTGCGGCAACCAGATTTGTACGCAATAGTACAGGTGTGGCCTTACCAGCCTTTTGTACAATGGCATTATAATGTTGGCTGTTTTATTTTCAATCCCGTTTTTAATAATACCTAGCATGGAATTGGCCTTGTTCACTTCCACTGCACACTGGGTTGACACTTTCATTGAGCTGTCCACCAGCACACCAAAATCTATTTCCTGACCCATCATGGACAGCTCAGAACCCATCAACTGATAAATAAAGTTTTGATTTTTTGCCCCAATGTGCATTACTTTATCATAGTTTACAACAAAGGTACTTAAAGGCTTGTCTTTTTCCATACAGCAAATGTTTTGTCTGCGAATCTTTCCCTACCTGCCCCCCTTGATATAGCCTTGATTTGTATTTCAACAATATACTGTACAAAAAGAATTCTCCTAGGTCTCTCACTAGAAATCTAGCATCAAACATCTCCAAGTTTCTTATGTACATCTTCCTCTCTATCTCCAGGTAACCAGTGAAAAGTTATGCAGAGCCCAGCATGACCTGCATTTTCAGGCTGCCACATATCTCTGTCTTCTGCGTAGTGTCCGGGAACATTTAACACTACATAAAGAATATCATGGCAAAGGAGAAAGGTCGCCAGAACAAGTAGCTGGACTTGTAGGCCTTAAACTACCACAACAGCCTGGCGGAAAAGGATGGGAGCAATAAGTATGAAAAGATTAGTTCTTACTGTATCTCATAAGGATGTTATGAATTCTGTTTTTCAAGATACTGTATTAAATAAAATGCTTGTATGAAATGCAGAAGTTCTAATCATTGCCCTTAAGTGGCTGGATAGCTCAGCGGTTTAGATATCTGGCTGTGGAGCCAGAGGTTGTGAGTTTGATTGCCCACTGTGCCTTCCAGGAGAAGAGCCAGTCTGTTTGGACTTGGGCAAGCTGCACGGTCCCAGAGTATTCCACGAAGAGAATGGTAAAACACTTCTGTGTATTTTCTACCTAGAAAACTCTGGAAAGTATTGCTATAAATTGGAATTGACTGGATGGCACCCAATTATTAAGTTTAAAGCATAGTTAGAGCAACTGCCTGCAATATGTTCTTTATATGTATTGGATTGTCAGTGCTTTCTGCCTGACAAGCACTACAATTACAAAACCTATGTAGTGATAAATCTATGTGGATGATATCTCTGATAAATACTGTTGTCTTTTTTTAAAATAAAATTCCATCAAGATTCATTAAATCATTTCTCACAACAGAGGAAATGCCATATATTATGCATTAATTCTGGTTACAGTTTTCCTCATTACAACAAAAGAAGTTAAAAATATCTCTCCAAAATTTCTAAACAGAGGACATTGCACATTGGAACTTTGGATTCTCATTTGAACACAGAAAAAAAGATGACATAGTCTTGATAAATATATCTGATGACTTTGAGGATTCTGAATTTGTGAGTCAGTTGCTCTGAAAGAATCATTGACAGATTTGTATCCAGCGAAATCAGAATGCTAAGGTTATCCAGATTTTTCCAGCACTAAGTGAACTAAACTAGTTTAGCAAAGATCAGATCACAGCCTTATGAAAAGCTGAAGAATTGACATTTGCAAAGATGAAACAAAAATATATCCTCCTCGTGACATTCACCCAGTGTTCCCTGCTTGTTTCCCCCAAACCAAGGGTTCACTATGGCAACGTCCTCTCTTTCCTTCGCTGCCACCAGTGGATTTCCCCTATCCACACTGTAAAAGACTTTAATCAGACACTTGCTGCCAACAGAACTTGTTTATTAAAAGATATTAGGCTGAATATGAATCACAGGTGTTCTTTAATCATTGTATAGAATCGAAATCATTGAAACCTCACATATTTTGTTACAAACTTAATCACCGTTTGCTTTATTTATTCACTTTAACCAGCTTATCTTTCTTAATATCAGTTCTATTTCTTTGACTACGTCTCTCTTTGCTTTTCAACCTCTCTCCTTTACACCTCTCACTGTCCTTCTCTAACTCACTGACTAACTGACTGAATGATTCCGCCTCTCCAGTCCTTTTCTAGGCTCATGCAAATGAGCTCCAGCTATGAGTGACAGGAGTGACGTGGGCATTCGTCACATACTTCCCCCCTAGGAAAAGTTTATTTCATTGGGGAAACTTTATAGTTTACCCTGATGAACAACGCAGTAAGCAGTGAACAATTTATTTCAAACATTTTCACAATACTATTACAAGTTACTCTTTTACACAATAATTTTTTCTTATACAGTATGCATATGTGCCATTATTGATTCCTATTTAGAGCAAATTAAACTTATTAATTTAAACATTTCACCCAGTCATTACAATTATAAATATTTGCATTAATTACAATTACATTAATACAAATCACATTCCTGTTACATTTATCACTACTTTCTATTAAATCAACACATTACATTTTTAATTACATCTCAAACTTACGCATAAGCAGAACAGTTTATCTACCATTGCAATTTACATTTTTCTTCTCCATCCGTCAGTCCTCTGGTCTCCGAGATAACATGTCAGTCACCATGTTCTGGATTCCCTTTGCATTCCAAATGTCAAAATCAAAGTCCTGCAAAAGTAGGGCCCGTCTCATCAGTTTGTTATTGGCCCAGATAGTTCTCAGCCACAGAAGTGGGGAATGATCGGTGCAAAGTACAAAGTGTCATCCCCATATATATGGCCTCAGTTTCTGCAATGCCCAAATGATGGTTAGGCACTTCCTCTCAATCGTGGACAAATGCCTCTCGCCCACCTGCAGTTTCTTGCTGAGGTAGGTTACAGGACGATGGTTTATGTCATCATCTGCCTGACTCAGCACGGCTCCCAACCCGATGTTGGACGCATCTGTGAAGACTGTGAACTCTCTGGAAGTCTGAGGCTCTCAGGACAGGACCGGTAGACAATGCCATCTTCAACTTGTTAAAGGCATCTTCGCAGTCGACTGACCATTGGATCTTCTCAGTCGTTCTTTTGTGAGTTAAATCAGATAAAGGGGCGGCTATCTTGCTGAAATTGGGTACAAAATTACAATAATAGCCGGCTAACCCTAGGAAAGATCTTATTTTAAGTATTTTAATTCAGAACTACCCAGTTGGCATTTACTTGCTTTAACTGTCAATCCAGTTTCATGTAGTCTTTGTAATACTGTCTCTAGGTGAATTCTGTGCTCTCCCCAAGTCTCTGTTTTATGCCCTACACCCTTGGCTACAGCAAGCTTATTAGAAAACACATTTTGCAATAAAGCTCTGGCTTCTTGTTGCTCAGGTGCTAGAGTAAGGCTAATTTTGACTTCTTCAGGGTTATACTGGAGTACACCCCTTACTTCCAAATACCATAATTCAGGTTTTTCCTTGGGCACTTCTTTAATGGCATATAAAACAAAATTTTCTTTCCTATAATAGGGTTTAATCATATTTGCATGCACAACTCTTCTGCCTTCTTCTCCTGAATTACATAATTCACGTCACTCAGTTTAGAGACCACTTTAAATGAACCTGCCAAGCCAATTGGAGTTTACTATATTTCCTTTAATAGGTTTCAACATTAGCACTTCGTCTCCAGGATTAAATGCTCTTTCCCTGGCCCTCTTGTCGTACCAGAGTTTTTGCTTTCCTTGATGGCTCTTTAAGTTTTCTGCTGCTAACTCAAGAGGCTGCTGCAAGTTCATCAGTGCATCTATATATTGGACCACTGACTCAGGATCCTTCTGTCTATGTTCCTCCCAGTTTTGCCAGAGTAGATCTAGGGATCCCTGGGCTTCCCTTCCACATAATAGTTCAAAAGGACTAAATCCTGTACTTTCCTGGGGTACAGATCTATAAGCATACAATAATGGTTGCTGTCAGTTTCTACATCAGAACCTTATGCAAATAAAAATACCTGGTATTAAAATGATAACTGGCTTTGTGCATGAGGTGCACAGTTCACATGTTGAAGAGGATCTTCTTTCTAGTCACCACTTGGCTACCCAAATAGTTAACAGAAAAGAGCCTGCAAATGATGAAGGAAAACTTAGGCTTCTGTGGTAGAAGGTAGTCTTGCAAATTGTTCTGGTCCCCTTAAAGATGCATTTCATTACTAAAAACATACTTAATAGAGTAAGCACACCAATATTTTAGCAAAATGTTTCAGCTTCTGCCCTTTACACGTGGTCTGGTCAAAAACTATGCAGTTTCCAAAATGGTAGTTATAGAACTTAGAGGGCCTAGTAAATCACCTGGTGACACCAGATACATTACATGTGCTGCTTATATATTACTTCATACCACTTAAGGCACTCTCTGGGCAGTTTATAATTTAATTTCGCACACTAAACATTGCCCCCATCCCCCCCCCCCAGCAAGCTGGGTATTCGATTTACTGACTTTGGAAGGATGGAAGGCAGAGTCAACCCAGATCCAGGTACCTGAACCCAGGATTGAACTCAGGTCATTAATAGAGTCTTGGCTGCACCACTGGGCTCATTTATATTATATTATGGGAAGTAGCAAGTATGTGATTCTATCCACAGTATTAACAAACTAGTACCACAACTGTATGCCATTTAATCTAATTTAAACTTAGTCCAAATAATTAATGATAGTGGGTGTCTCAAAGATAGCTGGTACCTATTAAGATGATTCCACTCTCTTGTAAGGACCAGAATCATAGAGCGGGATCAAGTCTTATGTTAGACGCCATCAAGTCAGAATTAGTAATCCTTATATGGCTTTTAAGGTAAGTGATAGTCAATAAGCAGTTTTACCATTCTCCCCCATGAGTTTTCATGGACAAGCATAGATTCAAATCCAGATGTCATGAGTCCTCGTATGTCACTTTGTCCATCACACCACATTGGGTAACTGGTTCATAGTAATCATTTCAATTAAATGGATGGGGCCTAAGTTAGTCATGCAAAAACCACAGTAGTAACCAAACAGATGCATAAAGGAAGAGAGAGCTAACTTGTGCAAATGCTAAGTAAGCTACAGTTAGGGTCTTAACATTTAAATCAAGAATTATAACTACAAAATAACTAAACTTCTAGTTTTGGTAATGCTATGAGCCCTGGAAGACATTCAACACAACCCAAATGGCAGTGCGACATGAGGACATTGTTCTTCAGTAAATAATACTGTACAGTACTGTTGATTTGGTTAAAACTGCCTCACCTTGTGAGCAAAATAAATCTTATCTGAAATTATCTGATATGGGCTTTGTCCTATTTCTTGTGCTCCCCATCCCCAGCCAAAAGGAGCATTGTGTTTCAATATAAGGCAATGGGGAGGGGATATGCTATATGTCTGGCAGATTGCTGTATAGTCTAGCAAGATTGGGAAAGATTTGCCAATCAACAGGCTGAAATCTGAAACTGCACCTCAGACCTGAGTCTGAAGTCCCCATGTTGAAACTTGGTTTTAACAAAGGAGTTTGCCACGCACACCTCACCATGAATTTATTTATTTGATTTATATACAGCCCCTTTAGAGGAACCCCTACTCTGGACAGTTTATAAATGAAAACTTAGAATACCACAGAACACTATATAATCAATATGGTGGTGCATCAAGCTAATTAAAACTAAAGCACCAGTTGTGCCTGTTTCTTGAGAGGTCTGATTTGGCCATGGTGACACATGCTCTAGTTACATCTCTGCTGGATTACTGTAATGTGCTCTATGTGGTGCTGCCTCTGGAAAGTGTTTGGAAACTTCAGAGGGTCCAAAATGCCACAGCCAGATTGTTAACTGAGGCTGGTTACAGGTAACATATACTGTACTGTAACTCCCCATTACAACAACTCCACTGGCTGTTGTTCTGTTTCCAGGCGCAATTCAAGGTGTTAATTTTAACCTATAAAGCCCTAAATGGCTTGGGTCCAAGCTATCCAAAAGACCCTATCTACCTCTGTTTACTTAATTGGGCATTAAGAGGGGGGGCTTTCTATGGGGACATAGAAGAGAGCCTTCTTTGTTACTGATCCCAGACTCTGGAAAGACCCCATCTTTGTAGTCCTTCCGCAAGCAGGCAAAGATATTTCTCATCAGACAGGCTTTCCTTTAGTGACTGGCAGTCTGAGGTTTTTTTTTTAAATTAGATTGTTGTGCTCTGTTGCTTTTAAGTGTGTTTTAAGTATTAATTTTATTTACTGATTTAATATGGTATTTGTTTAATTCTTTTCAAATATTTGTATATTTACTGTTTTTAACTATTAAATATTATCCTTTTAATGCTGTAAGCCATCTTGGGTCTTTTTAAGGAGAAAGGTGTAAAAAAACTTAAATCAATAAATAGATATAAAATTAATACAAAAAGGAAAGAGAGCACAAGAAAAGAATAAATTAATTGTTGGAGTTTGTTCTCTTCTGCACTATGCATAACACTGTGGTGCCCACTCTGAAGACCAAAGCGTCTTTGTTTGAGGTCTGCCTGAGCTGTAGTTTGAAAATCACACATTTAATGCAACCAGTGCTTTTTAAAACATACTTCTAAGAAACTAGCCTGGCGCAACCATCTGCCACGAACTTTTGGGACTCTTAATTTTTCTGCACTATGGACAAAAGAAGACATCGGTGCATGCCCGAGAAAGTGGACTTTGATCCACGACAGCGAGCAGACTGTATGCTTTTTTTAGTGGTCTAACAAAAGTATCACCTACTCTTGCACTGTATTGTGTAAGAACCACATGTCTCTCTTCTATTTTTTCGGTACTTTCTGTAAAATCACCCAAACTGACTCTCCCAGTTGAAGGAAATACGTCAGAGAAAGCAGCTGCAAGCTTCGTCTCCAATCAAGTCGAGCGCCGGTCTGAAGAGACGACGGCATAATCGGACCAATCCGCAAAGGTGAAACGCGTGACGTTGAAGACTCGTTGAAAGCTCGCTATAGCCAATCAAAACGATCCTAATTGGCAAAGAAGGCGGAGAAAGGGTGTGCGCGCACGGATGTCCGTTAGTGCTAAGGCAGCGCCCGCGCGCCTAGCGGGACTGGCGTGAAGACTGCGCGAGCGCGGGGGAAACCTGCGGTCCTGAGGCAGCGACGGGCAGAAGGTGGCTACCCGCCTTCTTCTTTGGCGACAACGGAAGCCGGTGGCGGCGTTGTAGCTCCACCCTCGGAAAGAGAAAGAGAGTGTGCCCCGAGGTGGCCGCTGAGGCAAGCGGTAGCGGCGTCGGGTTCGACATCTTCTAGGCCGCTGTGGGCGGGGCTTATTCGGACTTGGCCGGCCCTTTTGGGCCTAGCGCGCTTTCGGGATGTCGGCACAGGCCCAAATGCGTGCCATGCTGGACCAGCTTATGGGCACCTCTCGGGACGGTAAGAAGTGTCGCCTGCTCAGGGACAGCGGGGACTTGTCTCACCCGGAACCGTGGGGGAAGAGACCGAGCAGAAAAGGCCTAGTTCGATGCTTGGCAATGGTTGCGACTTGGTTCTTTTCTCCTCCCCCACAAGGGCGGGGTTTAGTCAGGGTGATAGGCCGGTGCTCTGGTGCTGCCACCACGAGTTGCAAGGCGGCAATGAACAGAGCTGTGTATGTGTGCAGGTGTGGAACGAGAGCGCCATGGGACTCAGTTGCGGGGGGGTGGCGGCGGCGGCGGCGGTTCAGTGATGACTCTTCCTTGGACGAAAGAAAGATGTCTCTCTTATCTGCAGCGCTTGTAGATGCAAAATTGAATTAGCAGCCCTAAACAAAATATCTGGCCAAAATATCTAGTTAACATCAAAATGTGACATTGGTAATGTTGTAGTTCATCGTAGCTCATCAGTGAAACAGCAGTTCGCCTTATTCGGACTTGGAACTGGGAAGGTATTGGCTGGTTTTGGCCATATGCAATTATAGTGTCTGGTTTGTTTGTTTGTCTCTCTTTAATGGCAGTCCTACTGGCTATCTGGCCCAAACCAGCATTTCAGGTCAATACTGTGCAGCTAATTTTGAAAGCATTATATTGAGATAATTTGGTGTGGTTTTATGGTTAAGCTACTTCTGAGTACTCCATACCTTGAAAATACTGGAAGAGGTAGTCATAAGTTGTAATAGATTTGATGGCACATCATCGATTGATTACTATTTGGTATCAGCTAGTGGTGAGCAAAAATACAAAATAAAAAAATAAATTGTAGTTGGAAGTTTTTTGGCACTCGGGAATTTGGCATTAAAAATATGTCCTCACAGGCCTCTTATAAATTTGAGTAGGCACTGAAGGCAGATTTTATTTCCTGTAGCAGATCCTGTTATTAGGGACATACTAATAAATAAATAATAGAAAATATTCAGGCCTGTGTACTACAATGAGGAAAAACAGACTGGTGTACAATAAATAGGCAGTCTGTCTTGAGGAGAGAGAGAGAAAAATCAAGCTACAGTACAGGAGTTTACAAATCCTTAGATTGCTAGGTATGTCTGTTAAGTGGTATTACATACTATTTAATATGAATCTGTTTTTATCCTTGGGAAAGGTGATGATAGATTCTTATCATTTGTGACATCATTCCATTGTTATATTCTGATAGATTTATTCTTTGTAAAATCATCTTATTATAACAATTCAGATTCTGTTTATCCATTGTGAACTATAATTTTTTTCTGGGAGTATGGCTGCTGACTTAATTATCATTACCCCCCCCCCAATTCTAAATTTGATTTTTCGCTTGTTTCCATTGTCTTTTTGTTCTGTTATCACTTCACCTTTTATTGTGAAGGCACTTGGGATTATTTTTCTGATTATGAATCAAAATAAGAAATCTTGAACTACACAAGTGAAATCAAACTTATGTAAAGAGCATCATACTGGTCCTCAAATTTTTGTGTGTGTCTTGATCCTTGTGTAATGATTACAAGCGAGAATTACTGAGGATTCTGGTTTTAGTTTACAAGTAGTGGATTTTTGTGTACAATTTTATTGCTTCTGCTTGTTTCTTTTTCACAGGAGGAGTGACTTAAAAACAGGAAGTAGTAAATGCAGTGACTGTTGCTAAATAAAATAACAGTCGAACAAACTGCAAGTTTTCTGATAAAATCAAATTAATTGTTCATAAAATATACATTAATTTGTCTTTTGTTGATAGAGTCAACAAAAGAGATTAGTTTTGCATTTAAAACTTATCCTATATGAAACATATTGCAGTAGATTAATCTGAAAGTCTGCAGACTTTTGAAAACATTTGTCTAGATAGCTGTCATATTAGGGCTTGTCCACACAGCTTTGTTGAAGCAGGGTGGATCAAGCTAAATAGGGTCACTTATTTAAATAAAAATACCAGCAAAAGAACAGAAGAAAGGGGGCAGCATAGTGTTCTTTAGAAGGGAGATCCATAGCTTGGTAACAGCTACAGGTCCTCTCTTGTGTCACAATCAAATATAATTATGAAGATGATGGGGCAAAAGGAAAGCCTTCTCTTGAAGATCTTCAGACATGTGGAGCTTCATGCATAGAGATACAAGAGGTGGATGTACTAAATACTGAAACATAAATATGAGCTGAATAATCCCATAAACAAAACAAAATAACATGCCAAAGCCTATTAACCCTCACCTAGTCCATTACTGATCCTAGACACTCATTTATGCCTTCATTTGCTACACTGGGAACCAGTTGAGTGTCTGACAGTACACTCCAGATAACTTGATCCTGTGGTTTCACTAGATTTTGAAACTCATAGGAGACAGAAAGGTAAAATTATATGGAACACTATATGTCATGATGCAGAGCATTCCCCAGCTTTACCTTCTGTAACTAGGCTATTTAGAGAAGACTAAAGTCACTTGGAATGGCACCCATTTCAGAGAGACACATCTGGAAGTGTACCGTGATACAGTACTGTGTCAGAAGCCCCGGAGCAGTCCAGAAGAATTAGCAGGATCCCTTTATCTAATTGGTTAGTTAGAAAGGTGGCCGATACAGTTTAAAAAAGCAACAACAGAGAGAGCCATGTGGTCCTTTGTACAATACAAATGTAGAAAAAATGATACCTTTATTTAGACTATTAAAATCAAGTTTTCAACACAAGCTTTCGTGAATAAATTTACTTATTCAGGCATTGTGCAGAAAAATTATAAATGAATGTCCCAGAAATGGTCATGCCAGAAGTCTGCCAGCTGTATTTCTTAGGTGAGCTCATAGCTTGATTTTAAAAATAGGCAGCATGAATAGGGGGGCAGGGGGGACATTCAGGAGCTGCCTTCTCTTGTGGAAGCTGAGTGGAAAATTTCAACCAAATAGTAAACACACACACACAAACTGGTTGAAACCACTTCTGAGTTCTAAAATGTATGTTTAAAAGAAAAAAGGTATAAAATATTATGACACTATTTTGTTCCCTTTATCCTCACTTCTTTCCCCACTCTAATTTTGGCAGTGCGCTGAGGTAGAATGATGTGGCTGGTTCTTTGGAAGTTTGTCAGTTATAGTTAGTGCAGTTATGAAAAGTGCAAAAATTTAATTCACGGTGACCCCGTGAATGACCGACTTCCACAATGCACTGTCAACTGCACTGCTCAACTCTTGCAAACTCAACTTTTATGGAGTCAATCCATTTCACAATTTGGTCTTTCTGTCTTCCAACTTTTCCCAACTTTATGTTCTTTTTTGATGAGTTCTGTCTTCTTGTGATGTGCCCAAAATATACAGTACAGTAATACTCTCAGTTTCATTGTTTTTGCCTCTAGAGAGAGTTCAGGCTTGATCTGATCTAGGACTAGTTTGTTTTTCTAGTAGTCCATGGTATATGCAAAACTTTCCTCCAGTACCGTATTTCAGTTGAATAGATTTGTTTTCCTGCTGGCTTTCATCATTGCCCAGCTTTCATATCTGTACATAGTAATTGGGATTATAATAGTGTGGATGATCTTATCCTTGGTCTCCAATGTTACATCCTTACACTTGATGATGTTTCCTAGTATGTTCATAACTGACCTATCAAGTATCAGTCTTTTGATTTCTTGGCTGCAGACTCCATTTGGATTGATGATTGAAATGATCCTCATTAGATGTTCTAGAGAATTTACAAATTCTCTAACCGTTTCAATATCTTCGTTGTCAACATTAAAGTTATTCTACAAGCATGCTTTTTGTCTTCTTAATATTCCACTGTAGTTATGTAGCGAAATGCCAAAAGGTGACATCATTCCTGCCTGTCCATCACAGAAGCTCAAGGGGGAGGAGCCAAGGATAGGGCAGGAGGGGCAGAGTTAGAGAGAGACAGTGAGAGAGTTAGTTGAACAGTTAGAGAGAGACAGTGGGAGATGTGGAATGGCAGTTGGAGTTCAGGTTTAGGAGAACGAAGGAGAGGGTTAGTGAATTGAGCTGAGAGTGTTAGGAGAGGAAATTGAGAAGTTTAAACAATACAGTATTGAAGCAGGAATGAAAGTAAAAGCACTACAAGAGAGATACAGTATTGATTGAAAGTACTGTATAATAAAAATGATTGCCTAGATGATCCGATACTGTACATGTTAACACCTGAAACAGTTCATATTTGATTTACCTTTATGATCTGTTTGACAATAAAAGAATACTTAATTAAACCTCTGATTCCTAAGTTCTATAACCCTTAGTGTTGGCAGCACACATGTATGACATAAGTTGGTATTACGAGAATACCTGGTGGCAGTGTGAAAGAGCGTGTTCCTTTGTGAGGGCCAAATAAATATGGGCAACAAAGGGTAGATTGCCACAAGTACTAATACTGAACTCCAGCGTTAGTTGACTGAAATCATCTCCTGTGCAAAAAGTATGAGGAGCTGTTTTGAACTTAGGAGCTAGATTCCTTTCTAGCTAGTTAGACTGGGTCCCCCTAGCTTCCTCTTCAGAAAGAAGGCTCCCAGTTAGCACTGGGAAAGAAATAGAATGGTGGGATGGTTACGCTTAGCTCAGCCTCAAAGCCTTCCAGTTGAGGCACATTTAGGTTTCTGCTAAAGATAAGCCCGAATTAATGTGGACTCCCACAACTAAATTTGTTGGCGTGGCAGCCCAGGGGCCATGTGTCCACTCCCCCCATCTTCTGGCTGGCTGGGCCACTTACCTTGTGTCATGTGCCACTGAAGTCCTTCTTCTCCAGTGGCACTCCAATCCAGGCAAGAGCTCAGGATGCCCATCTCTGCCTCCTCTGGCAGCCAGCCACTCCAATGAGCCGCCCAGAGTAGACTATGTCTAGATGGGCGGCATATAAATGCAATAAATAAATAAATAAATAAATGAGGAGGCAGGATGGGGAATTCTCCCCATGCAGCCAATGAGTGGTTGACTGTCAAGGGAGGCAGGAACAGGCAGCTCGATACATCAGTGGGAATGGGGTGGGGGCAGTGTAAAAAGACCCAG